TAATTGACTGCAAATTCTGTGGAAACAACATGAATTGTGTTAATGGTATACAGGGCTTGACATTAACTTTTTTGCTCACTAGCCAATGTGGCTAGTGGTTTTCTATAGTTACTAGCCATGCAGCATTTTTAGCCACATTTTTGTTGTTGGAAAACTACGTTTTATATGATTAAATTTGACATGGCATGCTTAAATTGGCGTGCTAAAATGTACTAATATTATAATTAGCTCTGATAAGGTTGTGTGTAAAGCTCCTTTTTTTGAAAACATGTATTCTGTTAAGATAAATACATAAAAAGAGTAGCTTCTTATTGTACAAGAGGCACTGTTTATTTATTTTACAGCAGTAAATACTGTAATACGGAGTAGAAAAAATGATCTCAATTAGAAACAAGAGCAAGGACAAATGATTTTTTTAAATTAAGGCAACAGGATTAAAATTTTATGTAGGCCTATATCAGTTGTGTGCTCTATCCAAAGCAGAGCTCATGAAGAAATGGTTCCCCCACACAGAGTCTCAACTCCCCTGGTTCCCTCCAGTCTTACTGCCACTGGTTGGCGACATTACAGAACACATGAAGCGACGGCTCACCTGCCCCGAGTCTCCTGCCTACCTGCCACTGGCTGACACCGATCCATCGTTCTCATCCATCCCTCCCCTCAAACTTTATGACAACATCACTTTACTACCTGCAATACACTATATGTCTGCAGCACATTTTTCAAATGCTAACACGCTGTGTCCAAAACAGTTAAAACGCATTCACAACAGAATGATTGCAAATATCCTGCTTCTGCTGCAGTAACCAGACTGAAATATATAGACAAAGACCACGCCTGCGAATATGTAGATTTAAGATGTTTTGCTTGTAATGGAGCTGAGATGGGATTGTACGAAAAGAACGGATGGAGTGCCCGGAGGGTGGGCTGAGGGATGCGGGGATGGGGGAGAGGGTCGAGGTCTGATGGATTAAGGGTTGAGGGGAAGACAGGTGAGGGATGAAGGGGAGGAGTCGGATCTGTGCCGATGGATGCGTGAGTGAAGAGCAGACCGGGCTCTGCTGGCGAGAAGGTGTGCAGGAACCGGTGGAGTCGAGACTCTGAGTGGGAGAGCCGTCTCTTAGTCGGCGGACGTGTGGAAATTCCTGGTTCCTGTATGCAGACATAGAGAGAGAAGGGAGCAGGGGGAGAGAGAGATAAAAAGAAAGGGATTTGGGTGGGACGGATGAGAAAGCTGAGTCAAGGGGAGGTGAAAGGAAAAGGTGTGCAAATAGGAAAAAGTGTCATCTCTCCCACTGTAAACTGCATGTCTTCGGAATGTGGGAAGAAACCCCGGAGTAAATTCACGCAGACACAGGGAGAACATGTAAATTTTACACAGAAAATCAGGTTCAAACCCAGAACCTTTTTGCTGTGCAGTAGCACCACTAAACTATGCACCACCGTGCATCCTATGAAATGTCTTCATTCAAATGTGCTGTCTTTATCCAGTAAAATCTCTGTAGCACCTTATGGCTTGATCATCCTGGAGAAGAATCGCTTGATCCTCTTCAGCCACTTCTTACGGCATTTGATTTCAACAAAGTGTGTGTTTCCTTTATCATTGTTTGTGTTGCTCTCATATGAATTATGATTAACAGAAGCAGGTGAAGCTGCCTTACTTGTGCCAGGTGCTTTCTCATCTGTCCCAGCAGTTGGGGTCATTAAAGCCAGCACTGGCTAGTTTGTCTGGTAGTTCAGTGTTTTCAGTTCCAGCACTGACAATGTCCGCTGTGTCCGCCGGAGGTCCATTTTCTTCGGCTCTATCATCAGCTGAACGTGTTTCTTCCAATTTAGTAATGGATAAACCATTCCTACCTCTCACTTTGTGTGATTACTCTGATCTCAGATAAACACAGTGGCTTGAGGTGCCTCAGTTTCATGGAGTGATACAGACTTTTGTCAAGCAGTTACAATTCCAGACAATTGTGTCCATAGTATTTAAAATGCCGATTAAACCTGACCAAGTTGTTCTTGTCTGGGTCAAGCTTACTGAGCTCTTTAAGTGTGGCCAACTCCCTTTTACCAGACCAAGGGAAGCTATTATGCATAATCTTCAGAGCCACGTGCTTCTTGGCCTGATGAAATAGGGTGCACTGGACCACCTGCCCAATATCTCCATTCCTCAGGGGCCCCCTTACAATATACAGTCTTGATTTGTCAGACAGATTGTGATTTACTTCCATGGGTTCAAGAAACTTTACTCTAGCTAATCTTGATCGCATTTCTAAAAGTTAAATGTTTCCACTATCTGTCATTCAGTATCCTACTGAACTTGCTCTGGCTTTGAGAACTGATTCTGATATGTGAAGATATCACGTTGGGCTTCTGACTTTATATATATATATATAGTCACATAGGTAGTCACAAGCTGGGTAGGTCAGTAGTGTATATCCTAAATGTTGAATAGATTAATTAAAAAAAAACTACTTAATCCTAAGAAATGTGCAAAGTGATGTCAACAGTAAAAGTTGTGTTTGTGTATGTTAATAAAAATAAAAATAATAAAAATTAAAAGATATAAAAATTCTGTAAAAAAAAAATATTAAAAATATAAAGTAAATAAAAAAACAATAAGCTGTGTGTGTGTGTGTGTGTGTGTGTGTGTGTGTGTGTGTGTGTGTGTGTGTGTTAGAAAATAAGCTGTGAAACTACCGAAGTTACTGAAGTAACTTACAAATAACTTACTGTAGTTAACGTTACATTGTGCCCATGGGCCAAAGAAAGTAACACAGTAAATTAGTTAAATTAAATGCCTACACAGAGTCTGAAACTTGCAGACTGCAAGAGTAAAAATAAAGAGTCAAATATATAACAGTTAGAATGTCCTGTTAATGTATCTCCATATACCACTCAGACAGCTAGCTAGCAGAGTGACTAGCTTGTTTAGCAGCAGCCTAAACTGATGCAACAGAACTAAACTGACAACACTGCACAGATAATTATGCAACAAGGGTACTTGGGGAGTAAGCTAGATAAAATATTATGTAAATATTTCTTTGGGAACAGATCTGACAAAGGTATTAAACAGCAAGTGTTCACCAATTAAAATAAAACTACTTTACTTGTCACGTTGAATCTTATAATAAGGAACAATTCCTATGAAATGTAGCTAAACCAAGTGATGGTGGCAGAACAGGGGAGGTGGTGGTGAGAGACAGTCACAATGTCCTCTCTTAAGTTACAAGGAGAGAAAAGTGATTTACATTTTCTGGCTGGCAATGAATCAATATTTTATATCCAAAATGAAATATGATCATAGAGACTTTTCAGGGCCAATGTTAAGCATTATAGCCTACTGAATGTAACTACCATGCATAAAGAAGGAGTGTTCAACATGCTTCATACAATCAATACATCCTTAATAATAATCCAGTCAATATGTAATGCTGTGATGGATGAGTAACTTACTTGGGTTTCTGTTGTTAATACTCACTTAATACTCACTTTTGTAACGTTTTTAATGCGTGCACTTTACTCTTAATTGAGTATTTCTATGCTATTTTTTACTTAAGTGAATCATGAAACTAACCTTACATTTCATGTTTTGTATAAAGTTGTCCTCACGTAGGACAAAGTTTGTAAATACGTTCACGCGAATTACACAACTACTACCTGTTTACTTTCGTCATGAAGTCGTATGACTATGGCTATATGTAGGCTACATGTCAAGTGTGACGCAGACCTGTAACGTATTTTAATCAATAGTAATAATAATGTTTTAAGAAGAAGAACAATAACCCAAAGCTGGCGCTAACTTTAGACCCATCACATCGTGGGTTTGTCGCCTGAACAATAGCTACAAAACAGGTGTTAGCTGACACTATAAACAGATAAGAAAGTATTGATACTACACTTTAATATTTTAAACATTAAATACATTTTAATACATGAAAAAAAACTGCCGGCGCGAGCAGGACGCTGATACAGTAGCTCCGTACGTGTCGTATTGTTTATAATACTTTAAGTGTGTTGTTTTTTTTGTTTCTTGTTTTTAAAAAATATTTTAAACTTTAACGTTTACACTAGCTGTGTAAAACTTTATATATCCTATGGATACAATTACTTTTTACGGAAAACATAGCAGTGGACAACTTGTTTATTCAAGGGACTGGACGACGCCCACCACCGTCTGCACAACACCTTCATCGGAGTGTGTTTAGTGGCAGACTGCTGTCCTAGCCCAGCTCCACCAACAGACTTAAAAACTCTTTCGTCCCCCCAGGCCCTCAGACTGTACAACAGCTCCTACGGCAGGGAGGACAATAGACAAAAGAACAATTTCTACCTCCATCTGCACTCCTTTTTGGACTGTTTACTGTTTTTACAAATTACACATATTTAGCTGTTTTACTGTGTTCTAAGTTATTTTAATTCTATTTTAATATAGGTTTAATGTATGTATGTTTCGTATGCTGCTGGATATTTGAATTTCCCTCGGGATAAATAAAGTATATATCTGTTCAACTATCTACACGAGTAAAACATCATCAGTCGTAGTTATTTTATTGTAGATTGATCGCGTGCGTTGCAGTGGTAGCGTGGCCGAGTGGTCTAAGGCGCTGGATTTAGGCTCCAGTCATTTCGATGGCGTGGGTTCGAATCCCACCGCTGCCAGACTCCTTTAACTTTTGCGGATCTGTCCTGACTCCTAACGCAATCACACTCCGAGTCAGCTGACACGAGTACTTTGTTACGTGACATTTCACATACACGCGTGCATGGCTAATACGGCTCTGCTGACACAGATTACTGCATTTGGCTGGAGCAGTCTTTCGCAGTGCAAGTGCGCCCTCTTGTGGCAGCCCGCATGTCAAAAACACCAGCTGTCTTTTTGATAACACATAATTTATTCATATACATATAGATGGATTTTCAACTACAAATAATGCTCTCAAGTAGAGGAAAGAGGTAACGTATAAATGAATGTGCTTATTGTAGATATAAAATGATCATTGGCATTCACTGTTAATTATTTTATTTCTAAAAGTGTACAAAATTACTAGGATGTGTAAATCACAACAAATCTTTATCAACTGGAAGCATGCTTTAAATACAATCAATTTAAAATTGTAATATTTGTAATACAAAGATGGATATTTTGTCATTTTAATGAAATCATAGCAACTTCAAACTGGAGAGAAATTCAGAACATTCACACAACTCAGCTTTAATACAATAATGCGCAGCCTGGTAGTTTCATCATTTTACAATCAGACACACATATAGCCAACCAACAACAAAAAGGTGGAGGAAATTACTGTCTCTGACGTTCTGAAGACTTATTTTTAGAGCATAATCTATTGCGCCTGCTGAGTTTCCTTAATAAGTAATGTGGTGCATTTTAGTACTTCATCACTTTGTAAGAAAAAAACTAAGCTGTGAGACCTTTTTGCAACATTGAAGCAAAACAGTTAATTTCCTAACAAATAAGACTTAGTGTCTGATCATAAATAACGCTTGAGATAGCTTATTGTGCAGTTGTCCATCCACTATTTTCCAGTGAGTATTGTTTAGTTCTGACAGAGTGCACAGCATAGCATCATTAGCACCAGGCTGAGACCCAGCAGCAGCAGTAGGACCAGGTGTCGGGGCAGCTGGGAGGTCCAGGAGAGGTTGAAAGGAGGCAAGCTGGAGCGAGGCTTTCTGGACTTCAGGTACTGCTCCACAGAGTCCGAGAGACTGTAGTGCTTCGGACAGTAACCCAGCTCTCGACGGGCCTTGTCGATCTTGAAGGTGTGGCTCACAGCTATGCTCCTCACCTTGAAGTGGAAGTCAGGGCATTTGTGTTAAATATGTGGTCCACAAAATGTTCTCATCAAGACAGAAATCATCTGCAGAAGCTCCTCCTGCAGAGAAGCCCAGACCAGGTTAAAGGTCATACTGCCAAGCTAATGGTTCAGATTAACCCCAATTCGGCAAACTTGGTTTTACATTCTGATAGCCTGTGAGTAATGGCTGCCTCCGGTTACTGCATCTTCTTACAGCCTTGGGGTAAGGTGTCTGCATGTGAAGTACACACAGTGATAGACCGACACCAGATAAGAGTTCAGCCCGACGCCAGTGGGACAAGATTTCTTTCAAGCTCTTTTTCAGTTTTCCTTCCTTTCACATGAGCCAGTTCTTCTTCTCTTATGACGTAAAAGTGCTTCAATCAGCACACACACCTGTTACAAAAGATCTTTAAAGCTCTACTGTACGACTATGCCAGGTTGTTGTAAATTGATCAACCAGGATTTCATCATTGTACACAGTGGTCAACAATACTCACATTTAAATGATGCTGAAATGGTACTAATGGGCCCAAAGTGTGCCAAGAAAATATCCCCCACACCCTTACACCACCACCACCAGCACTGAACCGTAGACACAAGGCAGAATGGATCCATGTCTTCATGTTGTTTATGCCAAATTCTGACCCTACCATCTGAATGTGACAGCTGAAATTGAGACTCATCAGACCAGGCAATGTTTTTCCAATCTTCTGTTGTCAAAGGTCTTCTGCTGCTGTAGCCTATCTGCTTCAAGGTTCAACGTGTTATGCGTTCAGAGATGGTATTCTGCATACCTTGGTTGTAACAAGTTATTTGAGTTACTGTTGCCTTTCGGTCTTGAACCTCCTCCTCTCCTCTGACCTCTGATAGCAACAAGGCATTTTCATCCACACAGCTGCTGCTTAATGAATATTTTTTCTCTTTTCTGGACCATTCTCTGTAAACCCTAGAGACAGTTGTGTGTGAAAATACCAGTAGATCAGCAGTTTCTGAAATACTCAGACCAGCCCGTCTGGCCCCAACAATCATGCAACGTTCAAAGCCACTTACATCCCCTTTCTGATGCTCAGTTTGAACGTCAACGAGTTGTCTAGACCACGTCTACGTGTCTAAATGCATTGAGTTGCTGCCATGTTTTTATGTTGCCTCACGTGTACGAATGTTTACCTAACACTGGATAATGAATCCGAGTTCTGCATTGGTTTTTTGTGTGGAAATATAGGCTGGCGTTATACAATATTACATTTAGCTGACGCTTTTATCCAAAGCGACTTACAATTGCTATACATGTCAGAGGTCACACGCCTCTGGAGCAACTAGGGGTTAAGTGTCTTGCTTAGGGACACAATGGTGATGTCTCACAGTGGGAATCGAACCGAGGTCTCCCACACCAAAGGCAAGCATCTTATCTCCGATCTCTCTGACCTGTCTGTGGTACTCTGATTCAAGCCCTTTCAGTCTTACTGAACACATTAAAATAGGCAGAAACAGCTGGTCACTGCAGTTTTTTAGCAAATATCACTTTAACAGGAGTAAATAGTGTATCTGTTGGGTATTATTTTTAGCTGTGGATAAATACACATTTGGTGCTCTCGTGAGTGTTTACAGCAGCAGGATGGTGCATGTGGGTTAAATTGTACTTGACTTGATATATTTGACTGCTTTTTCCTCCACGTGTTTGCAGTTGACGTGGAATTTCTATACGAGTAAAAACTCCTCTGCACATCACGCGATGGCTTAACCTGAGAGTCGATCCGACTATGCTCACCATAGCAACAGCCACTGTACTGAGGTCACTTCCTGTAAACCTCATCTTGAACTTCCTGTTCTGACCCACAGCCCGTTTATGTTTTATTCACAGGACAATCATCGATCCCCGGCCAGCAGCTGTCTGACAGAATGAGCTCCAGGTGCAGGCCCACGGGCCCAGCTTTGGTTTCTGCTTCATCACACATTCATGAGGACCTTACAGGCCGTGGCAGAGGCTCCTTAAGATGCATTGTAAAGGCCTCCCCAGGCAGGATTACTGCAAACGGCCCTCATCCTGATATGTTTTTTAATAGTGCTGCAGACAAACAGATTAATATGCCTCCAGTCACTATGAGAACTTTGGGATTTTGTTATTTGCTTAAACTTTTGAATTCATTAAAGGCTCCCTTTGGTTTTCCATAATTCATGCACAAGAGATAGTGTCAGATGATGGTGGAGGAGAGCAGGGGGTTGATAGGAAAATACCCGCCCTAATGAAGTCTGTCTTCACTGTTGCAGGAGAGACTTAAACAAGAATCTACTCATCAGAGAGCAGGTAACCCATACCCAACACATGAGACACATACAGTATTCAGTTAGGTAGGTACATATGGATGCATATGTCCACACACGCTCCACAGTGTTGTAACTTTCAACACTATGGTCACGTCATCATGATCCTTAATGCATCATTGTTCACTCAGGTGTGGGAATGTTAAAAGACCTTTGTGAGGCATTTGAGTTTATAAAAATAAAGCATTTTTCTTTCTTCCAAGTATCAGGCTGTGTCTGTAAGGTATTAAAAAAATATTAAGAACATACTGAACAGAAGGTTCTCCAGAATTCAATTCAAGTTTTAAAAGAGACAGAAGAGGCAGAAAGAAGCATAATTACCTCACTTCTGGTAAAGACGAGAGGCACTTCTATCACAGGCCTCAGAGCTACGTGCAAATATTCCATCAGGATGGCTGAAAATAGAAGAAAAGCATACACAGTGTTAGTGTTCATAACAACATTTTAAACATATATGATCTAAGAGATATCTAAAAGGTGTACGCATTTTGGAGAAAGAGAGATACCTGCTGAATAGACGAGTGTCACAGGTAGGTTAATCAACGGTCTGCTGTGGGCCAGCTTTTCAAACTGCGTTGGCAACATGAAACAGAGCAAATTCCACTTAAGTTTTGACAAAATGCATTTGAATTAAACTGTAAATATTCTTGAAAGTTTAAAGTAAATGGCAGGAGTTCTTATAGAGTTCTATATTTTTCTTATTGTCAATAAATGGCATGAAAAAAATTAACAATGTGTTTGTCCATCTTTCAATACTTTCTAATTTCCCTAACCTGTCTGTTGCATTCAGCCCATTCGTTCCTACTGAACATGTCAATCTTTAAAAACAGGTCACAAATATATTGTTTTATATATTTATTTCAAAAGGCTACTGTAATTTCTTAGCGAACATTACTCAAACACGTGTAAATAGCTCATTGATATCTTCTTAATAGTTTGGGACAACAATGGAGCTCCGTGACACAGAGGAATAAGATACATCAAGCTTTGGCTTCACAGACAATCCTTGTTAGTAAGACTGATTAAATGTTGGTAGACTGGTGGATTTCCTGAGGTCGGTCTTTTGACAATAAGAAAAATGTAGAATATCAACAGCCTTAACATTTAACTCACCAACGGTGTCAACCACTCAAAGAGATTGACTGAAACGCCATCATTAATGAAATAGGCCTGTCCACTCTGCAATAGAACAAAAAACAATGGGGACACTGTACATTGCCTTTAATTAAACTATGAAGATGAAAAAAGTAGCTAGCACTAACAAGCAAGTGATAACTGTATCCTATCTTTGATCTTAGTTGTGCAGAATGGAAAGGTTGAATAAAAAATGTTACAGCAGAACCTTTAGTTAAATATAACTGATATTCAAGTCATAAATTGGTTACTGATACTGAGAAAGTATGTGTGTGGTTTCAAGTAGTCTGATCACATGGATCTATGGGTGTTGTCTGTTTGACTCACAGCGACACAGCTCCTCTGCAGTGCAAGAGCCTCAGCTGCCAGCGTGTGCGCCAGCACCAGGTTATCTACATGTACCCAGTTCATCCTGGCCCGGGGGTCCCCAAACCTGAAACTGAACAACCGACGCTCCACATTCACCTGAGTGAGACAGAGAGAGACGAGGGACAATAAGCAGACAGTTTGTTTTGTGGTGAGGGGTTTTTATAAGCCTCACAGGTTGGTGTTCCATCACTTCCTTTTACTCATTTGTGTTTTCTTTGTGTGTTTTTGTAACATTGCCCATCTTGCGTGAAAATTAAATAGAAAACCTCTGACATGCAGGACTGAGAAGTGGGTGTAACGGTTCTGCACACAGAGACGTGGCCTCAAAAGCAGGACTCACGGGCAGAGCAGTTGAAAGTCGTTAACTCTGGAAGAAGTTCAAGGCAGAGTTTGAAAACAGAGAAGCAGACAGTGAGGGTGTGGTGTATAACATATGTGCATTTGACCATTACAGTTTAACATAATGCTCTGTAGCTGGGGACAGTGAACCCTCCTATAGAACTTGACCCCTGACTCAGAGCTGGACAGAGGCACAGTGAACCCTTAAGGGGAAGTAATGATTGATGGGTGTGCAAAGAGTGAACCCTACTATGAAATTTGACCTCTGACCCAGTGGTAGGGGGAGTAGAGGTTAGTGTGTATGAAGGGACTGTGCCCTTATATGGTTTTTAGCAGAGACCTAAACATGTCTTATATAAGCTGTGTTCAATGTACAGAGAGACAGAGTGGTTATCGGGCTGGGTCACTCTCCAAGCTGCTGCAGAGCTTGTAATTGATGCTGAATTCTTTGATGTAATAAACTTTTATAATCAAGAACAGTGTCAAGCGGATTTCTTCTCAACACATCATCGCAGCATTATCGTTCGGACACCACAGAAATTGGCGACCACGAAGGGACCGTGTTGTGCCAGAATTCATCGTTCCATCACAGGCTCCATCGAGCTGACTCCCGCTCCAGAAGCTAGCGTATATGGTGAGTTTTCTCATAAACTGTGGGCGCTGGTCAGTTCGTGTGTCTGTGTGTGCGTTGAAGGGTACACCGGTTCGATCCCGTGTGAATGCTGGCGGGTGGATGTGTGAGAAGACTCCGTTCTAAATTGTGTGTGCGTTGTGGATAACGCAAATAGGTTGTGTGTGTGAATGTAATGAAGACAGATAGATAGATATAAAAGGAAGAAAAAGGAACAGCCTAGGAGTAACGGGAAGTGAGGTTTCATAACTTTGCAAAGATTAAGAATATGGGCCCTCAGATTCTTATAACCGTAAGTCATGTGGGATGGAAATTACTGTCGCGTGAAACTAGGCTTTAAGGAATAGGTAAATTGGAGTAAGGGAAAAAGAGAGAGAGTGCAACCCTGGCCAGGGTCATTCGGCTTGAATACAAATTAATAAGGATAAGGAAGAAAATATAAGGTTAAGGAAAAAGGAAAATAAGGATTAGGACGCCGCAGATCTGGACAAAAAGCCCTTGAAAGGCGATCTTAGATGGGCCGCAAATCCTGGAAAGGAACTAGGTGAATTTTCGGGTCCGTTCAAAGGAACTGGGAGCTTGTAGAAGAAAAATTTAATTGTAAGTTACCTCTCGATACATGTGTTGACGAACTATGTCCGAAGTGGCCTCTCATTAAATATCTGCAAACTCGAGGTAGCATAAATTTAGGAAGGAAAATAATAAAGGAAAAAGGTGCGGCGGAAGCATGCTTTATTAACAGTGTGAAGAAATGCATTCTTGTTGACTGGATAGCTACCATGTGTGTGTGTGTGTGTGGAGAGCTGCCCTGCTGTGTCTCGGTTGTGTGTGTGTGAGAAATAGGAGAAGCCTAGTGTGTGTGTGAGACTATGCAGAGGACAATAATGCTAGGATTCAAGAAAACATATATATGAATAAAGAAATAGAGAAGGGAATTTGATCAAGGGGAAAACTGTGTTTTGAAATTTGTTAAAGTTATTGATCAATGCTGCTGTATGGTTTGGGTCATTCCAGAAGCAGCAGTGGGGGTTTTTCTTAGCCTAAGTTACTTTTTTGGGAAGTGCGCATTTGTTTGTCTATATTTTACTTACTTTTCATTTGGGGTTTTTTATGTGTGTAAATACATTTTTAAAAGGCATTTTCATTGGTATTGAAGAACGCTTGTTAATGGAGTAAGCTTTAAATAGGAGTGAAGAGTAGTGTCCCCAGCATCCCCAGTGTAAATGACACCGAAATTCCTTAGCTTGCTGTTATCGTAGATTTGTTAAAAAGTTAGGGAAAATAGATTATGATTACTCAGAGAGGTGACACTCTTATTTTTGGGGGGAAATAATCTTGTGAGTACATAAAAGGACTAAAGTGTTGTTTGCCTTTTTTGGGTTTTTGTTCTCCTGTGATCTGAGAGACAAGAAGGAGAGAGAGAGGGAGAAGGAGAGAGAGGGGGTGCCGTCCAGCGCGCCACAGCAAAGCAGCCCCGGATCCAGTCTGGCCAGTATTGTGCAATCCACAAACTCTTTACACACCTGTGCATATGTGTCTATACTCATTTATAATTATTACACATTTAGTTTGTTTCCTTTCAGGATATTATAGACACATTTGTAACACAGAGAGTCTATTTGTGTATGCCTGCTATATTTCATGTTATGACTATCTAAGGGGAGACTTGGCAACGGACTGATCAGTTACTGTATTTGAATATTACATATGGGAGTTTTTGTGCAGGGGTCGTTTGAAGTCAAGTTGTGTTGGGAATTGAGTGGTATTGAGATTTTGGGACAAAACTAAGGTGAGAGGGTGCTTATTAGGTAGGAGTTGGCGCCGTGTGATTGCTGGATAACAAGATTTTTGTGATTGCTCTGGAGTTGACAAATTCCCTTGATTTTCCATTAGCGGATGTGGTAAGATTGCCACCTATCAACAATTAAGTAGAATTAAAAGAAAAATAAACAAATAAGTAATAAGGAAAATAATTTTACAATAAAGAAATATAAAAGAGTTGTCATTATGCGGAAAAAGGACATTAAAACGTTGAAAGTAACTACTCCGGTTGATGTAGTGCAAAAAAATAATCCTCTAGTTGATGGTATTGTAAAGTTATCTGAAAAATGGCATAAGCGTTGGCCTAATATTGAACAGCCATGGCCTGTGGAAGGGACTCTTAACCCAGGTGTACTTAAAATAATGCAAGTACTTGTGTCCACATATAAGTCGGATCAAAGCAAGGGGAAAAAAGGGGAACGACGTAAAGAGAAGAGACGAAGAGAGCTGGGTGTTCTTAAGTTGTTCGAACATGAAGGTCAAAAACTGATGAAAGAGACGCAAGAGAAAAGGGACAGAGGTGTGGAGAAAATGGCAAAAGAGGCAAAGATAACAGAAAAATTAATGGCAGAAGTCAACAAACCCTTCTCACATACGGATTCAGCAAAGAGACCTCCACCATACGAGGAGGAAGCGGAGTTTAAGGATGTCTATCCTCAGCTTCCAGTGATCATTCAGGAGGGTGGTTATTGCATTAGAGATGAAGATGAACGAGTCATAGAGAGAGGACAAGCAGAAACAACTATAAAGATGACTCCAAGCTCCAAAAGTAAGAAGAAAATGACATGTTTGGGAAACTAAGGGTAGAGCGAGGTTTAGGAGAATGGAAGATGATGATGAACAGAGTGATGTAGAAGAGATCATGGGTGGATATGATCCTGTGATCAGACGGAGGCTGGCCAGAGCGGAAAGAAGGGGTGATGAAAGTTGGAAGAAGAAGGATACAGGAGATCAGATCTCTGATGAAAGTGAAGATGGAGACAGCGATGAAGAGTGGGAGATTAAAGGTGCTTCATGTTCAAGGGGATTTTATCCTCCAATGACTACTGAAGAAATAGAAAAAGACATGGATCGATATCATGTTTGGAGAAGTCGACTTATCCAGAAGAAATAAGAGAATTGGAAGAACATCTCGAGAAGCTGACAATACAGAGGGAGAAATTGAGGAAAAAAGGGCCTCAAAAATTGGAGAAGAAGTATGCATTATGCCCAAGGAAAGGGAGCACAAGTAAGAAGATGCTGCCAGTGATAATCCGAGGACAGAATCTGGAGTATAAGCCTTTGCAGAATACCGATATGTCAGATATACTTGAGAAGTTGCCTATTCTTCAAGATGGAGCACATCCTTGGATCTCGAAGTTGGAAGAAATTACGGTAGGAACACAAACTGCCATAGGAGATATTAAGAGACTTTTGCTAATCTCCTGGGGATTCCAGGTATGGAAGAGATTTTTCAGAGAGCGGGACTTAATCGATATGTGGGGACTGCTGTAAATGATCCTGAGTTGTTCGCTGCAAGTAGGAATCGACTGTGGAGAGCACTGAAAGACACGTTTCCCACAAATGTGCATCCTGACAATATCTTGATTGATTCATTGGGAAAAGAAGGTCGCTTGGAGGACTGGTGAACCCTCACAGGGGCCCAGAGCCAGGATTCTAGAGGTGCCCAGAAAATCCGAAAGGGGGGTGTCAGCTGGTAGCATCAGGGCCGGAAAGAGATCCAACAATTGAGGTGAAAGTAAATAACCGACCATTGGAAGTAATGGCGGATAGCGGAGCGGCTTTCACCTGTGTTCGGCCTGAAGATACACATCTTCCTATGTACAATCAACTGATTCGGACAAGGGGGTTTGAGGGAGTGAAGCAGCTGATTCCTCTCACGGAACCAATTGAGCTCTGCTATAAAAATCAGAAAACTACAATACCCATATTGGTATCAGAACATACACCTATTGCTCTACTGGGAAGAGATGCTTTGTGTAGATTGAACTGCACAATAAAATGTACACCAGATGGCTGTCTGATAGACGTGCCAAAAGAAATGGTCCACCAACTATTGATGACAACAGAGATGGAGTCCTCTGCAGTATTCTGGATTGGAAATCTCAGTGCAGATTTCTTGGAGCCGGCTAAGATATGGGAGAAATTCATTGTGGCGAACATGCCAGATGCGAAACTTCCAGAATATCCATTCCATTGTACGCTCAAGTATTTCAAGAATGCTGCCCAATCAAACCCAGAGGAATGGTTGGCTCATCAACCAAAGGGAATTCAACTAAGCTCAAGTTGCATAATTTTGGGACCA